AGTGCAATCAATACAGAATCCAGGAGGGTTGGTAGTACAGAAGAAAAATTAAAGGAGGTGAAGGCATGAGTAAAAAAGAATAGGAGGGGTGACAGAAAATTAATAGAGGGGAAAAAACTTTAGCTGAAAGCAAGTTAGATATTAATTTGATCAAAAACAGTGATTTGGAGTGACAGGTTGTAAAATAATGCCAGATTCCGTGAATGGCTCCAGACTGCGGGCATGCATACACGCATCCACAAACACAGACACACATACAAAGTCAGGGTAAAGAAAATAATAGTTCATTTTCACATCTTCAAATGAAAACAAATGACTTCTTATTTTAAATTATTATCCCTTTAAGTATTAAGCAAAGTTTTTAAGGTAACAAGGTTTTGGGGCAGAATATGTTACTAAACATGAAATAAGTATTTTATTTTGCTTTGACTACAGGATTATTGGAAACAACTTTTTTCCTTTTGAAAAAAAAAAAGGAAGAATGTTGTGCTGAAACACTAGCAACAGAGAAAAACAACCATCAGAGAAATGTGTTAACATAAGTCTGCCTTCTGCTGAAGGTACTCTGGCCCTAATCATAGCTGAAAGATGTCAGTGTAGTTATCTTGGCTTTAATACAAATAAGCTGGTTTTACCAGAGCTGATGATTGCTTGACTGTATGTTATGCAAATAGGTGAGAGGAAAAAGAATTATGTTCACAAAGAACAGCAACACCTTAAGGGCCAAGTGCTTGTCCTCTCATTCACAGTGATATTTCTTATTAACCTGAGATGTTGGTTGGTTGGTTGGTTTTCAGGTTTTTTTGTTTGGTGTTTTTTTGGGGGGAGTGTTTTCTAAGACAGAGAAAACAAAAAGCAGGATTCAATAGAGGGAAGTGAAATCAGGATTAAGGCAAACATGGGTCTACTTTCTTGCTGTCTTGGTTCCAGGAAAGATGTTTCTCAGAAAGTCAGTTTCCATTTCTCTGTAGTACCTGTTGTGCTGAGTTTTGCAGTGGTATCCACAAGGATTTATTCACATTCTCAGTGCAAGCTATTATTTCCCCCATTACAGGGTGACATGTGATACAAGAGTACCTAATGCCCTTAATTCCTATTCTTTTTTTAGGCCCTTCTGTGAATTTCCTCTACCCGTAAAAGACCACAATATCCTATAGCACAGTTACAGTTACTGCAGATGACAGCAGAATGTATAAACTTTCACTTGTCCCTTCACATCATTCCCTTTTTTACCCCAAACTAATCAGAGAAGCAGATGCTTCCAGGTCCCCTCCCTATCCTATAGGTACCAGCTGGCCAGACAGATCATGCTCTAATGACTCCAGGCCAAACTCTGGTTGCCTCTCAAGTGTCTGTAGGTGTTTGTCCCAGACAAAGGGGGAAGGGTTGGCAGTGGAGAAGGTGAAGAAACAAATGAGCTTTCTCACCATGCTCTGGAATTGCTCTCATATTCAGAGAAAGCCAAAAACTGACAATGAAACAGAGAGGAAGCAAGGGAGGGGTATGTGTGTGGGTAGTGTGTGCAAAGCTTTCTTCCAGCTCTCCACTGAGCCATGACCCGGTTTCTCCAGGAGCTGCCTGCTGTTTTCTTATTTTTGAAGTAAGTTCCTGAGACAATGTTTTGCATGCCAAACAGGGTCAGCTGCTCAGATAGGCAGGGTTCTGAACTGGACATGCACAGGCCCCTTTCTATCTTCTCTAGTACCTCAACCGCTCCCTCTTCTTTTCCTTCTCATTTCTCTTTCCTTGTTCAGAATGAGGAAACGTAATTAGCTCTTACATGCATGGAGGAAACAAGGGGAACTTCCAGGGGGGTTGTATGTAACTTATTGCAGTGGCTGCTAGACTGTAATTTTTTACGGTTATTGTTATCTTGACAGAATCCAAGAAGAAGAAAAAGGAAGGCAAGAAACAAGAGAAGATGCTGGATTAATGGGGCCAACTTCGGCAATGTGAGAAAGGGACATCAGCAAACACGATCAGTTAACAGTTTCATTTATACCTAGGCGTTTTATCCTAAAATTATTTATAGCTTAATGGTACCATAGAAGGAAACAAACAAACACAGAAAAAAAAATCCTTTTTAAAATTACTTTAGTATTTTTAATGTATAACCTTAACAACAATTTTTAGAGGCCTGTAATAAAGGACTCCAAACTCATTTAGAAAATTACGTCCATTGTATATTGAACGGTGTAGAGGTTTAAAAATTATTTTTTCTCAAGTCTTGCTATAGGTCTCAATCTGTAGTTACTCCATGCAAGCAGAATCTGAACCTGTGTGGAGCTCCGCTGAAGCCAGTGGTGCCCTGTTTGAGCATAGGAGTCTGGCTGGATGCAATTATATATAAGATTGGGACCTTATATCTGAAAAAAACACAGACTTTTTTCTTAAGTTCTTCTTACATCTGGATAACTGTATGAAATAATTTGTTTAAGGAAAGGATGGGGGCATTTTGTTGAGTATTTACAGGCATAGAATTTTTCTGGATGTATGGTGACTGTTAATTCCAGAATGCCACCATCTCCAGGTAAAAACCAGTAGCACTCCTATCCTTGGCCATATTTCAGATGTTGACAGTAAAAATTCTAAAATCTTTCAACAGTTGGACACAGAAGAGTCCTAATTCACGATTTTCTAGCACTGATTTTTGAAATGATAGCAAAACTTTCCATTTTTTAGCGTATCAGTGCTGGTGGATGGTAGTTCCCTTTCTTATACTTAAAAGCTGAAAAACGCTTTCTTTCATTTGTTTATTTTGCCAGAAGGGAGAATATAATTTTCAAAAAATTCTAGTTGAAATTATTGAGATTCTGCCCAACTCAACTCCGTTTTGTATCAGTGGGAATCTCCCTGTTGATTTTGATTATAGCTGGTTGAAAAACAGTACGTCTGGTGGGAAGTAACAGAAGATACCTGTTTCAAAACTGCCCAAAATAGTTGATATTTTTGACCAAAAAGGGACAAATTGTGGGACTTGAAATCAATATAAATTAAATTAATTTTTGTTTCTCTGTTAGTAAAGCAGAAATATTAAAAAAATCTTGTTTTTATTTTCTTCAATTTTACTGTTTTAAATGATAAAAAGTTCTGAGAAAAGCCACAAAGTAAAAAAAAAAGATCTAACAGAAGGCTGGTCAAGGTAAAGGGTTGTTTAATAAACAAGCAGACCGGACTTTTTAGAGGAAACATAAGGGATTTCAGTGCCCAAATTAATTTAAAAATCATTGAGTTTAAATTCTAAATCTTAAAATTCAATGGCAGGAAAAAAGCTTTGCCATTTGTGTAGGCTGCAGGCTTGCCTGATGGTCAAGAGCATTTGTCTCCCTTGTACTGCTAGTGGTATCCACTGACTTCAGTGAGGCTGCAGCGGGATGAGTTCATCTGAGTAAATCACATTGCTCTCTTGGGATTAGCTTGTAGACAAGCAGAAAGTCTTTTTCCAGACTAACAACACTCCCTTTTTCTATGCAAAAAAAAAAAAAAAATTATAACAATTGCAGAGCTTGCCCTCTTTTTTCTCACATGGAGGGTATAGCTAATCTGAACTCACAGTGAGACAAGTCCTTCTGTAGACATTCCCGAACCGTTTTGAAGCCAGCTAGCAAAGGCTGCACGTAGCTCAAGGTAGACTAGCCACACAATTAATTCCCAGACTCCTTGGGTGTGTTTTGCAGTCTCTGTTGATGTCCTTGCCATTTTGACTACGCTGTTAGGCATACCCGAGCCAGTGGTATAGCTAAAAATGTCCCTGACATGTGGTGGATGTGCAATGACCAAATCCAAAATCGTAAAGGCTCATATTTGGGTGGTTCTGGGTGCTATTTGGTTGGTTCATGGTCTAATCGGGTCTACCTGTGCTTGTGCCTCAGACTTAAACTAATTGATTGGTAGGTCTGATTGAAAGCAAAGGGAGAAAGAAACTTTTTCACTCACCAAAGGTTTGTCTGTCTAAATGCTGCATCAGTTCACTTGAAGTGGTTCAGCTTTGAGTGCAAACACTGTTGCACCATTGTCTTATACTGGTTAATCTAGTTCATGTTTCATAGGGAGCTGGCAGGAATTCGGAATGATGCTGAGACCAACAGTTTGACTATCCTTTAGCAAACCTTAGATGTGACTTCTGATTTTCACTTCTATGAGTAAGAAAATAAAATTCCCCTGTGTTTCCTCTGACACCTTATGGCCCTTATGATTAACTGCTCATGTGGCTTGTTAAAGAAGCATTCCTAATAGTTTTTGAAGGAGGCCAGTCAAGTTCCCATGGTAGTACAGGGCCTCCATGGAAAAAGTTTACAGAAAACAAAGAAACTAACAAAAACACTGTGTCAGGACCAGAAGAAAGCACAGCAGTCCTGGTAGGAAAGGGTGTGAAATAAGAGAACACTTCTATACTACTCAGCCACATCTATATTGGCATCTTATTGTTGACAGTAATTGGAGTTGTATCTGTCATAGTTTATAAAAATGAAGGAAATTTCCAAGAAACCAGCAAAACATTATGTGGAAACTCTGGCTATGAAGGAGATGATAAAAGTAATTCATAGCAGAGCACAGAGGCAAGTTGAACCGAACAGGTCAGGTCAGCTCTGAAAGGAGGTGCCTGGTACCTAACAGGAGCACTTGCTTCACTAGTGACATTATCAAGAAATTAAGTGGCAAGCATCTCAACAAAACCTCTTCCCTCATTATCTTGCTCAGTTTCGGCTTGAATCATTCTGAAATTTCTTCTTATTTGCTTTCTAATCTTCTACCCTTCTTCCTTTGGGAGGGCAAGCTTGTCTGACAGTGCTGTGGGGGCAGCTACTTCAAATGGAATATGTGTTTCGACTTCTTGGTGCTATCCCATTACAACAGAAAATGACCTAGCATAGATGGGTTGTTTAGCTAACTTAACCAGCTGAAGCTTGTTTCATGAATGTCCTGATTGAGAAGTGGTTTCCATATTCATTTACTACAGCTATAATATGGTATGGGGAGATGATGGAAATCCCCCAAAAGACAGCCTTTTTCTGAGCACTCAAATCACTTAGAAGAGGGAGGGAGTGACTTGCTGAACATCGGCTAAGCATGAATCTGCATCCAGACTCTGGATTCTAGCAAGTTTAAACTTAGGGCAATTTGGATATAACTCCTTTCCCTTCCTCTAAGTAGGCTGAGCCACGCTTCTAAGCAATTAGGCCTATCTAAATTTTGATTAAAACAATATTTGAGGACTTGGGCATTTTCTGACTTTAAGATGTCTCCTAACAGAAGTGCCCATGTTGAAAGAGAATCGTTGCTTGCCAGCATGGCATATTTAACAGACTGTTAGGTGCAGCAGAACTATAGGGCAAGGCTACAGAAGGGAAACTATTTGTTGTATATGCAGGTAGATACTAGGTTTTAACTTACTGATTCTCATCTCCTAATTCTGTAATGACATTCTGGACTGCAGTGTTTTTCAAAGGAGAAAAATTGAAGAAACAGATGAATATTAACTATAAAATATATCAACAGAGAGTGCTGGAGACTTTATCAAGAAGAGACAGATATGAAGACAGGAGCATTTTATACAAACTTTCCTTGAGTAGGGAAGGCAGGATTACTGTCTGGCACATTTGTTTTTATGCTTTTCTTGAATTGAGCCTTAATGAAAACCAATCAAATGTGGAATGTTATAGAGAACTGAAGTCCCGCTCCAACCTCAAGGGAATGTGTTCAACAGGAGGCAGTGTCAATAGAAGGCAAGAGTATGTCTGTCTTTTCTGGTTTAGGAGTGCAAGTTATGCTGATGTTGACAAGAGAAAACTTAATATACTTCTTTAACTTTGGGTAGATATCCTTCACCATTTAACATGTGGCAATGAACAGTTCAAGTAAAACAATGGAGCATTAGGATGAACTAAGGGGAAGTGAATACTTATGGACACTGTTTATGGAAACAAGCCTATAAACCCCCTGAAACTAACCATGCTGCTAGCAGGGAGTATCTGAAGATAAACATTGTGTAGCATTTCCATTTGTTTAATGAAATTCCTTAACAGATGGTGAACTTTATCTGAATTTCATGTCAATGACGAGGGTGGGACAAAAGCCAACCTGACTTTCCCTCGGCCTAGGAACTGCAACAACATTAACAATGTAAACCTGCCACTTTTCTAAAGCAAAATATTGGTGAGGATGAGACAGTAGGCTTTCACATCTCCCAAATTCTTATAGGAAAGGGAAGCTTTATGTCAATGGGGTAGATATCTTATATTCGTTATTTTTCAACTCTCTAGGACAGCATCTTCTCTGAACTTCTGACAGTGTCTCTCCTTTGCAGGAACAGAATATACCTGTTGTCTGCCTTCCCCCACTCACTCCTAGTTTTGATAATATTTGCAGGTCTCTGTCAATTCTGCTAAGGCACTCTACCTCTCAGCCAGAATTCTGTGGATATTGTTGATTCTTCCTCATGCTTGAGACTGTGTTCTTCATTGCTTGCTGGGTTGTTGCAAAACAGACCCAGAAAGACCCTACAATCAGGTAACTCTGATTCTGTCCTTCTAAGATAAAAAGACATAGTAACAATTTGTTAATCAGGGGGTGGGATGACAATGAAAAACAAAATATGTGAGACTGTGTGAGAGATTCCCTGGATCCATTGTGAGGGTGGCTTGCTGGTAAAATTTTGTCATAGCTCAACCTGGGAAAGGCTTCCTAGGGAGCAGAAGTTTGATGAAAAATTAAACACAATGATGAAGGAGTGTCTGCCCTCAAGCAACAAAAAACCCCTTCTCTAGATAAAACAGTGGCACAAAGCTGCATCCTTTCCCACTGTGTCCTCATTAACCATCAAATGCAGGGAAAGAACATAATGCTTCAGAAATACTTGCCAGAGCAAAGTGGAGCACAGAGAGAGCCTATTCCACCCCAGGGGTGTTTGCATTTGGAGAAGGTCTAGGTAGTCTTGTTCACAGCAGCATAAAACTTCATGTGCTTTTGGACCAAAAGTAAATGAGGCTGAAGTCTAGTATTTTTCCTAATGCTCCCTTTCTCCTACTCTTCAAAAACAGCAGCACTCTGACCCGACCTCAGAAATG